GATCTACATGAAAAGAAAACTGATGAGCAAAAATTAATCGAAGCCAATCAGAGTAGGCTGACATATCAAAAATTTGGAAATATTTTTCTTTAATATTCATACATGTACATAATATGTTTGGATCAAATCTGCTCCCCATTCCTGCCCCTTCAATTCTTCCCCATCTGCTACCACTTTTCCCGGCTACCTTCACTTTTTTCCTCTCTCCCTCTCTCCTCCTCTCTCAGTGTTACCTGTGTGTGCCTGAATGTGGGACCAAAATTGTTTATTATTACACTGTACTAATTGATTGATTGATTGATTGATTGATTGATTGATTGATTGTGTGTGTGTGTGTAGTCAAAGGGCAGCTTGCAGGAGTCAGTTCTCTTTTTCACCATATGGGTAGCGAGGATTGAACAAGGTCACCAGGTTTGACAGGATGTATGCTTACCCCTGAGCCATCTCACCTGCCCCAAAATGGTTTGCTATACAGCAAACACCGAGAGCATGAAACCACTCTTTGCTTTAGGTGACCCTCATGTCAACCAAACTGAAGAAGATTCAGAAACTTTGGGGCCATATAAGCTATGGCCAGGGCAGCATTGGCAACACTGGATGTATCCAGAAGGCTGGGTAATGCTGGTTGCATGCTCACCCACAGGATCAACTTCAACAAATATTACTAGGTAACGTTGGGAAAGTTGACCTGAAGCATTACCACTTAACTGCCAGCCTGGATAAACTGAGGACCACTGGTCAGTGAGCAGACACTGGTCAGTGCCCCCAAAGAGGAAGCTGATGCACCAACAGTGACTGTGGGGTCTGATGCTGAAAGATGAATGTGGAGAATGTGAGCATTAAGGCAGAAGCAGATATAGGAGACAGTTGCTGGTTATGGATCTTGGGATTTTAAGATTTCAGAGATGACGATGAGCAGAAAGAAAACCTAGGCTTTAGAGACCCCGGTGTGATTTCCCTGCAACATGGCCTGGGGTGAGTTACCTACATCTCTGATTGTTGTTTTCTTTGTACAAAGGGTGGGAGGCCAGGAGAAGCTACTGTGTGGCTTTATTCGTGTGAGGAACTGAAGCAGTAAAGACCACAAAGACAGAAAGAGAATGTACGAAGGCAGGAGAAGACGGCAGAGGCTCCTGGGGACTCCCAAATCCCTGGTGGTAGTCTTTCCTGAGATCTGTGTTTTGCCTTCTTTAATTCAGCTAAGACCACGCTCTGGGGGGTTATACAACTTGTGAAGGGTTAGGTTGAAAAGAAGAGCTGTGGAGGACACCAAGGGAAAGGGATCAACCAACCTTCCTTTCCTATGGCCTGAGGACACTCTGTTACAACACAGCTGGTAGCTGCTGGTATTTATTCCTGTTTAAATACTTACTTATATTCTTACATGTATGGATGGATGAGTGTCTGCATGTCTCTCTGTAAGCGCACCAACCGTGAGCCTGCAGTGCCCACAGAGGCCAGAAGAGGGCGCGGACCTCCTAGAACTGGAGTTACAGACCATTCTAAGAGGGAGCTGGGAACTCATTCCAGTCCTCCGGAAGAGCAACAAGTGCTCTTCACCACGGAGCCCCGCCTCCAGTCTCTATTCCTATGTGATTGTTTCTGTGAGGCTTTTGCTCTCAAACCTCTATATTCACGTTTATAATTCTTGTCACGTATCTTAAGCTCAGCTAAGAAACAATCAAGAATGATTTCTGTAGTCTTTGAGAACACGGAGGGCTGAGTCCAGAGTAACAGTGTTCACCCCTGCTTAGCATTCTTCGTCAAGCCATCTGCTCCCAGTCTTTATCACCTCATCCTAAGCCCTTTATCCTCTTTACTCTTCTTCCTATTTACGATAATGTCACCTCATAAGCCTGTGCACCCTTTATTCCCCAGAATGCAGAGGCCGTAAACAGGGTCACACTCCTGCCAGGAAAAACGGTTGCTGTGGTGTTTTGTTTTTTTTTGGGTTTTTTTGTTTGCTTGTTTTTTTCTGGCCTCAGAAAAAAATTTAAAATGGCTCTATTGGAGGAGACCTGGAGTTTGTAATATGTAATAAAGTCCAGATTCTCAGAAAAGTGAAGCAGGGACCTAGAATGCTCATTTCATTACCCGGTGCGGTAAGTCCTTGCAATCCAGCGAGAAATAACTGTCCAGCCAGCCTTAGCGTCCGTCACCACAGCTGGCATATCACATAGAAGGAGGAAATAGAAGAGTGCTCTGGTGAAGTAGTTAAATTCTGCCATCACTCACTAACATGTGTAAAAGGAAACAGGAAGTGTGGATGTCACTACACTTAAATCTTTTTAGTTGACAGTAATCGTATATATGTGTGGGGACGAGGTGGTATTTGTGCTCACTGTAGAAAGATCAAATCAAACTGATAACATGCATGTCACCTCACTTATTTACCACAGTTTTGTGGCAAGAATGTCCAACAGCCGTCCTTTCAGCAGTGAGGTACAGGAACAGCAAGCATGGCCACCGTTCTGTGCGCCTCTCGGAAACTCATCTGTCCTGTGTAATAGAAACTTTTGCCTTTTCACCCAGAGTTGCCACTCTTGTCTCGGTCTCTAGGGATTCAGCCTTTCCAGACCGCAGAGTGAGGTCGTACATTGTTATCTTTCTGTATCCCACTTATTTCACTTAGCCCAGTGTGAGGCAGCTTCATCCATGTTGTTACAAGTGACAGAATTCCCTTCTTTGAAAAGGCTGTATAGAAGTTTTATATAAAGGTAGGATCTGTATTATTAAAAATAATTATTAAAGAATTTTAAAGGCTGTATAGAACTCAACACAGCAGCACATACTGGGAATCCTAGCACTCAGGAATCTGTATAGAACTCAACACAGCAGCATATGCCGGGAATCCTAGCACTCAGGAATCCAAGGTAGGTCTGTGAGTTAGAGTTCACAATTAGCTATATCCTGAATTCTACCTCAAAACAAACAAACAAAAACAAGCATCAGTCTGGAGAGCTGCCTCAGTGATTAAGAGCACCTGCTGCCCGTGCAGAGGATCTGAGTTTGGTTCCCATATACCAACATGGTGGTAATCATCTGTAACTCCAGGTTCAGAGGATCTGATGCCCCCTTCTGGGCTCCAGGGGCACTGCCTGCACATTGTGTACAGACATACATACATATAGGCAAAACCACCCAAATGCATAAAAGAAAAATATATAAATCTTTGAAACAAATAACCTCCAAATTAAAACAAAACAAAAAGCAAACAAACAAAAATACCTAACCGCCCCCCAAAAGAAAAGGGTGCACAAGGCTGGAGTCAGTGGTGGAGCCTACCATCACAGGCTCTGGGTCAAACCCCAAGAACCAAAAATAGAGAAAGGTTATATAGTTTGTCATTATGTGTATAACTCATTTTTTTAATCTGTTCATACGTTGGAGGACATTTAAGTTGTTTCTATATCATGGCTTTGGGTACAGTGCTAAAATATTCATCTATTTGATATACTGATTTATTCTTTGGATATATGCACAATAGGATTGCTGATTATATGGTGATTCTAATTTTAGGTTTTTGAGAAAGCTCCATATTGTTTTCCAAAGTGGCCATACTAATTTACATCCTGCGGGCGGCATCCTCATCCCCATCGGTGCTGGCTGTCTTTCAGCCTTTTGATAACAGGACCAACCATTTGGCTTGGTCTAGGGACTAAATCTCCACACTTTCACCTTTGAGCGTTTGAAATGAGGACTTCTCGATTCTGCTTTCAGAAAACTTACCAGGTCAAAGGAATTTCTCTGTTTGTCTAGTACCCTGTCCTCCACTGCCAGTCATCATCCAATTGTGATAAACTTCTTGCCACAATGTTGGCAAACAACAGTGTCATCGTGGATGCTAATTCTGTTTGGTGCTGCTGGGCAGAGACGCTTTGGACTCAGGAATTCAAGGGCAGCCTGGGTAACACAATGAGACCCCCATCTCAAAAAGAGTAGGGAGAGTTCCCTTGAACTCTTCATTAATACTGTACTTTGAGACTTTTCTCTTTTCTCTCTCTTGGGTTCTTAAAAAAATATATATACTATTAGACATGAAGTAAGATGGAAGCGATGGATTTCTTTCTTTCTTTCTTTCCTTTTTTTTTTTTTTTTGCTGTTGTTGTTGTTTTTGTTTTGTTTTGTTTTTCGAGACAGGGTTTCTCCATGTAATTTTGGAGCCTGTCCTGGATCTTGCTCTGTAGCCCAGGCTGGCCTCGAACTCACAGAGATCCGCCTGGCTCTGCCTCCCGAGTGCTGGGATTAAAGGCGTGCCCACCACCGCCCCGCTACGGGTTTCTTTAGTTTAACGAAATAAGGATGAATAGAGAATGACTCCACGCTGCTTCGCCCAGAGGGTAACCCTGCTGCGTAGCCAGCAGTTTGCAGAACATTGTTTAGAGAGGGGCAGTGAGATGTCTTCATAGGCCTCTGCTGTCTTTTCCAGTGGGTTTCCAGGTGCCGGGTGGCTGGGCTACACACTCTGGAATCCATGAATTGTGTGATTTGAGTGTGTGGTCACTCTTGCATGTTCCCTCAACTAGATCGGAAGCTTCGGCCCCTGAGGCAAGAGACGGACAGTATTTGTCACAGGTGAAGACTGAGCAACTAACAACTCATTACTTCCATTATGAGTTCCAGATTTAGGCAGAGAGAGAGACAGACAGACAGAGACAGAGAGACAGACAAAGAGAGAAAGAGAGACAGAGACAGAGACAGAGACAGAGAGACAGACAGAGAGACAAACAGAAAGAGAGACAGAGACAGAGAGACAGAGAGGGACTCGAGACAGACAGAGAAACAGAGGGAACAGACAGAAACACAGAGATGCAGAGAGAGACACACACAGAGATAGAACAAATGAACAGACAGCCTAGATTTTTCTATTGAATGAAAGACTATTTGTGTTTCTAAATGACTGGGTTTGATATAGTATTTGGTGGCAAGAGAAAGTAACCTAACCTAGCCACTGTGTCTGTAACTACATGAATTTTAAATGTCTATCTTCCTCTCTCAAGGAAAGCTGCTGAAGCGGCCAGTCATCCGCACATGTAAATCTTTAATGGTGTCCATGAAAACTGCCGATCAGTGAGTTAAACACATCGTATCACAGAGCACAGGAGTTCTCCCAGCTCTGCGGCTGCGTCCTCAATGCCCGTCCTCAATGCCGTCTTTTCTCCCCGGATCTCAGCCGGGGCTACCATCCGTTTGCTCACTCATTACAGGAGCCCCGAGAGCCTGCCCGCTGCACACAGCAACACGGGTCTCTTTCACTGCACACCTGCTTTACACACGCACGGGACCGAAATTACTGAATTCCTCATCGGTGACATCGTTTCCTATTTGGGGCTCTGGATTTGACCCTACAACTTGATGAGATGACGGGGAACTTGCTTTTCTAGATTAATACTTAACCCCTGCCGTTCTTCCTCAGACAGAGCTTTACACTCACTGGCTTCATTCACCTGTCCAACTCAACTCTTCCCTGCTTTGAGGACCAAGTCCATGCCTTGCCTTCCTCTTTACCCCAGTAGGAAAAAGTCAGACATCTAAAGCCTTAACAATGTGGGATTTGACACAGCAAACAGATCATGTTCCTACAGAGAAGATATGACCCCCACAAGGTAAGAGCTGAGTCATTAAAAAACTTGGTTTTTATTTTTTTATTTTGAGACATAGGGAAAAATTTTGCTATAAAGTTAGCCCCCAACGACAGAAAAATCTTTTAAAACTATATCCCTTAAACACATTGTTTTTGGAGACTGGAGAGATGGTTCTGTCGGGAAGTATTTGCTATATAAACATGAAGACTGAATTCTGATCCCCAGCACTCTTGTAAAAACTGGGCGCTGTACACTCTAGTCAGTGCTGGGATGGTGGACACTGGGCGCTGTACACTCTAGTCCGTGTGCGGATGGTGGACACTGGGCGCTGTACACTCTAGTCTGTGCTCAGATGGTGGACACTGGGCGCTGTACACTCTAGTCTGTGCTCAGATGGTGGACACTGGGCGCTGTACACCGCTAGTCCGTGCTCGGATGGTGGACACTGGGCGCTGTACACTCTAGTCAGTGCTCGGATGGTGAACACTGGATGGTGCTTGGGGCTTGCTGCCCAGGGAGTCCAGCCATACCTGTGATCTCCCCACTCAGTGAGAGACGCTGTTTCAAAAAATAAGGTAAACAGGCCAGTGAGATGGCTCAGCAGGCCAAGATGCTTGCTGATAAGACTGATGACATGGCTTGATCCTGGAAACCCACATAGTGGAAGGAGATTGTCTCTGGTTTCCATGTATTGTGGCACGCGCATACACACACAACAAATAAATATAAAAGCAATGATGTGGAGCCAGGCACTGGTGGCACATGCTTTAATTTCAGCACTTGGGAGGCAGAGCCAGGTGGATCTCTGTGAGTTTGAGGCCAGCCTGGTCTATAGTGAGATCCAGGACAGGCTCCAAAACTATACAGAGAAACCTTGTCTCAAAAAAACAAAAAACAAAAAACAAAAAAAGTAAAAGAAAAAGAAAAGAAAAAAGAAATAATGTGGAGAGAAAGATACAACATAGACCTCTGGTGTCCACACATATGCACTCACGTGTGAACATGTAGACGACACACATACAAATACATACACACATACACACCCTTATATATATATGCACACATATATGCATTTTTTTCTTTAGTCTGGCTAATGTAAATTGTGGAGAGGGAGAGAGAGGCCAAGCAAAGCAGAGACAGGAAAGGTTGCCTCAGCACGGATCACAATGTACTAGAGAGCCCACTGGGGGAGGTGGGAGGGGTGGGGGGTGTGGCGGAGCAGCATAGGCTCCAAACCCTTGTTTGGGAACCATGAAGTCAGCAAGTGCCCACAGTTCTTTAGTGACACCAAACTTTTGGGGAAACATGATTTTATATATAGTTATGATAGGGGTCTACTTTAGGAAAAATTCAAGATAAATCAATAACTTTAAATAAATATTTAAGTTTTGGCAAGTTTTTAATAAATTGTAGGGTAACATTTTACTGTTAAATATGTAGTTATCTAACCCTACACACTTTTTTGTTTTAAATAAGTCTACTCCCAACTTTTGTGAGTCTCGGGACAAGAGGCCCATATATTACATATCTAAATATTTGAAAGTTATACACAAAGTTAACAAGTTTTGTTAGATAATGCATGTTCTGTCCTCTTGCTGTGACAAATATTTCTTCGTAACAATTTGTAAAATTGGATTCAAATGTAGAATTGTTGGACCTCCAGAATGTGGCAGTGTAGGCATGCCATCTTATCAGTGATGTGCTCATCCTTGGCAGCATGGGCCTAGGGACCAGGCTTGAAAGGGCTCTCCAAGCTGGCTTTGGTCTTTGGGTTGGGGTCTCCAGACTCCTGGGCACTTACAGGGTGGTCTTGGGCTTCCTCATCAGTGGGAAACTGTGTAGCCAGGAAAGGCTCAGAATGAGGCTTTTTCAAGTTTGGGGCTCAGGCCAGGGAGGACCTTCACATAGGGCCTTGGGGGAGGACTGGTTTGTCTCCTGGGCCTCACTCACCCTTCATTATCCTAAGTCTGCTACTAATCTGCCCTTAGCTTTGCCTGTCTTCTGTTTTCCCTCAGACCTTGGGAAGGCCACCCATTGTCCTGCTCAGATACTAGTTTTAATAAATAGGACACCGTGATCGTGTCTTCCATTATTTCTCTCTTTGGATCCAATTATTTCTACTAATTATGTGGAATCTTATTAGCAAGGTTTACTCACGGGAGGCCTGTCAGTGAGGCGTGTAGGAGGCAGTGAGTCTGGGAAGGGACAGGTGTTTTTCGTCAGTGAGAAAAAGGCTGTTCAAAGGGTTCACCCCAAATTCCACTCTGTGAACAGAGAGATGAAGACTTCGAGGAGCATTTATACTGGGAAGGAAGAAACATCACTTTGGATCACAGCTGGTGAGAAGCAGAAACCCCAAGACAGACCAGGCCTCTGGCAAGACATTGAAATGGGAAGTGAACGGCGACCCTGCCTCTAGGTGTTTGTTTCCTAGGCAATGGCGGGAAATGGACACCGCACCAGGGTCCCATCGTATTCCCAGGACAAGTGAGCAAAACAAAGAAATCCTCACTCCTCACCCAGGTGGAACCCATTCCTGTGAAGATACTCAATGCTTTGAGGTTCAAATGAAGTTGCCTTGAACCTGCTACCTTGCCTGAGACAGGACCGTCCGCATCTCTCCAGGGAGCCTGGCCTTGGGGATGAGCTGTGCACTTCCTCTGTCCCTGATCAACTTCCTGAGTGGATGACTTTTCCGTCGGTAATGTGCTGCGGTCCTCATCCGCACTCCGTTGAACTGAGATTCAACAGGGCTTTACGGATGTTTGTGCGCATGCGTCAGCTTTGCTCGGGTGGGTTTGGAGGTGACGGTGACGCCTCCTCACACTGCCACGGGTGGGTTTGGAGGTGATGGTGACACCTCCTCACACTGCCACTTTGCTTGGCCCGTTCTCTCTCCTTAAAGGCTCCTCATATTTCCATGTGGCTCCCGTTTTTTTTGTTTTTTTGTTTTTTTTAAATGTGCTTTGCTAAGAGAGTCAGGGATTATTTATTGTCTTGCTAGGTAATGAGAAGAACTGGTAGCGGCTTGCCGGTGGCCACCATTTTCTTCCAGTTCTGTTAGCTAAAGAGGTGGTGTGGAGAACCATTTTATTGTCTCTGTGGATCATGTCCTCTTCCTCGTGGGCCAGTATTGACGCTGCTTTTCTTTCTTTGTTCTACCACACTGTAGCCTGTGCTTGTCTCCCGTTCGAATCCCCTGTCTCAGCCTCCTGGAGATTTAGATGACAAGCCTGAGGCGCCGAGCCTGGCGGCTTTGGTTTTAAGTAACAATATCTTCTTTCCCAGTTACACAGTGATTCCAAGACAGTCTCCCAGTCCTCTGAATTCTTTTTATCCCCGAGATGGATAACGTCAATCATAAATAATTATAACAGAGATAAGGATATTATTGTTATTATTGGCAGGAGATAAATGTCCCTTCGAGGACAATTGAAGGCGTTTGAACAGAGGAATGATAGGGCCAGATCAGAGCTTCCATCTGGGCAGATGAGAAAAGACTATGGCAGAGCAAGAGACTCACTGTGGAAGAGGAAGGTCAGAGGAAGTGAGCCAAGACTGTGACAATGAGAATTCCGAGAAAGGACTTGAGGCAAGGGCTCAGGGCAGAGGCCCTGGAAACAGATTTACACGTTGAAAACAGAATGCTAACCCAAAGCAGGGAGGAACACAGCCGTGTGCAGGGCTACCTAATTGTAGATGCGCACATGTCCAGTGCTGGGGACCCTGCAGGAGTGGTAGGCCGAAGCAGAATCAACCTGCTGGGCTGTGCATCACTCAAGATTAACCACTGAATTCTCTTGCTAAGTATGGCCCGAGGGCATACAACAGGTACCAGTTATCCAAATAAAGAAAGGAAAAAGAGGCGCAGGATCAAATGGAGCGTCTCTCGGGGAGCAGGCAGGCAAGTCCAAGGGGTTGGGTGGGCAGCAAAGGCAGGACAGACGTCCGAAGTCAAAGGGTGCATTGTCCCGTACAATCCACGCTACGTGGCGGTCCATTCCCCCGTCCCCGACGGGATGGAGGACATATGTCAAGCAGAAAAGAATTTGGACTTCCAACTCCTGTTTGGTCACAGAAGCCCCGGGAGAGAGTGACTGAACCTTTGCCTGCTGTACACGTGGTGGACATGGGAAATGGCAGCGACATCCAAACATGCTGTATCAATTGCCTTTTGTTGAGTACTTATTGTTCACGTAGAGGGTCCAGACAAAGTGGTAAATAAGCCGATGCTTGATTCAGCATCATTTATTGGTAGTAAAAGGGGAGCTGCCATTCTCGTATGACCCGTGAGCCAGGAAGAGGAGGGGGACACTCCTTGGGGGCAGCGAGTCCACAGATGTAAGGCTGGCACTCCTAACTGGCACTCGGGACCTCCTTCTAGCAGTCCTCCTGCTCCTGATGGTAACTACTTTCTCATCAACTGTCCTGAGCTCTTACACGTCCCTGTGTCCTCCTATCTGTGGGGCCTTCTCTAGCTGTTGGTTTTATTCCATTAGTTTCTCCTGACCTCAGGACTTCATTTCTTAAACTGGGAATGGTACCTAAGTAATATTTTTTTTTTAAATTTTTCGAGACAGGGTTTCTCTGTGTAGCTTTGCGCCTTTCCTGGAACTCACTCAGTAGCCCAGGCTGGCCTCAAACTCACAGAGATCCACCTGCCTCTGCCTCCCAAGGGCTGGGACTAAAGGCATGTGCCACCACTGCCCGGCTTAAGTAATAATGTTTTTCATGTTCAGACCCTTATCTTTTTCTTTTTCTTCCAGCTAACAAGCAACTTCCATTTCTTACTTCTCTCTGAGTTTTGGTAATGATCTGCAGGCTTCTCCATAGACTATCAGCAGCTTGGGAATAGCCATGCCGCTTCAGTCCATCAATCTGGAAAGCCACCGCCAATAACACGTCCCGGAGGGAGTGTGGTGGATGCCAACTGGATAGAGCTCCCATGCAGAACATAAGCACGTATTTATAACTTGGGAAGGTGTTCTTAGTGTGCAGGAGTTTAGCATCGGCCATTGGTGACATTTAAAAGCAAAAAGGACCATTCATAGGGGCTCAAGCAGTAATCAGAGCTGGCTGTAGTCACCTGTCTGTACCCCTGAATGTGCCTGAGTTTGGCTTGCGGCCCAGTGCTGACCTAGTCAGGGGGCAGCCAGTCAGCCATCCCACTCGTGGGCCTGTCCTCATTGTCTTGGCTAATGTGTTAGCAGACTTAATTGTTTGTTTCCTCCAAGTCTGGGGGTGTGTCACCTGCCAGGTGGAGCTGGAGATGACCCACCGGGTTGGCATTCCAGTCGGGTAAGTTAGCAGTTACTCTCCTCACAGCCTAAGGAACTGGCTTCCCTCTCTACCAACCTGTTGGCCTCTTCTGGCCTTAAGAAGCCATTCTAATATCCTCAGGGGATTTGTCAGGCCCAGAGTAAGAATACACCCACCTTTGCCAAGGGCTCTTCAGTTAATGTCCTACCCCAGCTCACCCAGCACTGTGCTTGCAGTAATTGGCAGTAAGCCTTATTCGAAATAAAGTACCTCCAGTTCATCTTGGGCCCTCCAAGGGCAGAGATGCTCTTCTTAGGGATTCCCCTAATGCCTAATCCTAGGAAGTCTTTACAAGTACATAAAGGTAACCTAGTGCCACTCACGGGTTCACTGGCAAACTCTTCTTTTGGTACACTATTTATTCCGTTTTTAAAAGTCAATAAAGTAGTCAGCAATGAACAAACACTCAGGGAAATGAACAATTCAAGGCAACTGTCAAATTCCAATTGGTTGGTGAAGACATTTACAGTTTGGAGCTTTGCATGCAGCTCTTTAAAGGGAGTGATAAGAGTTTACGCCTTGAGCTCTACATAGAGAGAAGACACCCGGGTAGAGGAGGAAGTTGCTAGTTACAGTGTTGTGCTGAGCTCACATCAAGCTTCTCTTTCCCCAACTCCTTATTCAGTTAAATCACATTAGAGCAGGAAATCATCGGTGTGTAAGTACACCGTGGAAACTGGCCAGCACTGTCAACCACAGCTTTTTCCCCTCCCAAGAGCTAGTTGTTAATACTCACCAGCACACCGTGGGCAGCGAAGACAGAACACAGAGCTAGAGGTGGAAACTCATAAGTTGCTGTAGTCTGGAGCTAGAACCAGACTGAAGGTCAGGCTGTATAGGAGCTTGTAAAGGAGACTAAGGAATTTTGCATTTCTTTATAATACCAGGGAACTAATGCCATTTGATTAGTTGAGATGCTTTGGTTATAAGTCAAAGAACATTTAATTCAAATGCCTTAAACAATAAGTAAGATGTATTAGCTTACGCAACAAGAACTTGCAGTAGCCACACCAGTGTTGGTTAAATCAGTCATTTACCAAAGGTCCAGAGTCGTTTTATTGTTTTTCCTCTGCTGTCTTCTGGATATCAGCTAGTCTTCGAACCAGCACAACAGTTCAAAATCAACATTCAAAAAGCAGGAAAAAATACTTTATTCTTTCTTCCTGTCTCTTTGTAAGAACAAAGACATCCCCCCTACCCCAAAAAAGCCTCCAAGGGGTAATGGAATGTCATCATCATCAGTGTTTCACCAGTATCCCCCCCCCCCCCCCCACCTCCCTGAAGTGCAGAGCGGAACAGAGAAGGCTTGCTGTTGAATGTAACCAAGGCTCTATAAGCACAGAGGAAGGAGGTGGACATTGGTTAGGAGTCCTAGTTGGCTTTCTGTTGCCATGATAAATACCATGACCACACACAACTTGGAAAGAAAGACTTCATGTTAGCTTACAGGCTACAGCCTATCCTCAAGAGAAGTCGGGGCAGGGACTCCAGCAGGAACCTGGGGCAGGAACTGCAACACAGACTGGAGGACTGCTGCTTACTGACTTGCTCCCTGTTTCTGCTCAGCTACCTTCCTTATACACTCCAAGCCCGCCTGCACAGGGATGGCCTACCTAGCGTGGGTGAGGCCCTCCAAACAAACACACACAAAACATCCACTCCAAAGACAGGATCCGATGGAGACAAATCCTCATCTGAGGCTCCCTCTCCCCCAGGTGTATCAAGTTGACAACCAAGAAGAGCTATCTAGCCTAGACTGCTTTGGTAGAGAGAGGTCTTTGGAGTACCTTAGGAGGTATAATCTAGCAATGATATGTAAGCAGACAGAAGGTCCGGGAGTAAAGACGAACAATAATACTTGATGATGATGATGATGATCGACGACAACAGGGTCTTGCTTTGTAGTTCAGGCTGGCTTTGAACTTGAAATCCTTCTACCCTGGCCTCCTGAGTACTGGGAATTAGTCATGAACCACAATACCCGGCTCCTGTTAGACTTTAATGACGAGTTACTAAAGCCGTGGCTCTCAATGGCCAATCTGCTACCAAATTCAACTAATAGTGAATGAATGACTATCATAGGCCGAATATTGTTGTAGTAATTATACATAAAAATGGTGAGCTTACCTCATGGAGATTTAGAATCAAATGGTAAAGCGAATATCAGGCGACTCACAAATAAATATAGCGTTATAACCTGTTTGAGCACGATGAAGGAATCCTGGATTTTCTCTCCTTTCTTTTTTTCTTTTTAACAGTAACAAAATTCACCTACAGCAAATCTATACAACGTGACATACATGGGGCTGGAGCGACGGCTCAGCATTGAAGAGCACTGGCTGCTCTTCCAGAGGACCCGGGTTCGATTTCCAGCATCTATGGAGCTCACAACCATTTGTAACTCCACTTCTAGGGGATATAATGCCCTCTTCTAGCCCCCATGGGAAAACAGGCACACGGTGCACAGATCTATATGCAGGGAATATACCCATATATGTGAAATAATAACAATATTAAGAAAAAACACTCCAATGTGACATCCATGTGTAACAGCTACTATTAGTACGAACAGAATATCCCATCCTTTAGAAAATCCTTTTGTGTCTCTGTGTATTTAATTTTCTTCTCCTTTAATAGGGGGCCTTGGCTGATACTTACTATTGTGTATTTCTGCCTGTCCTGGAATTTTAGTTTCATCTAAATGACTTTTTTTATTCAACAAATTGTGTGTGTGTATGTGTGTGTGTGTGTGTGTGTGTGCACACACGCGCTCGCACGCGCGTGGGGGGGGGCGGCCTTCATATGCCCTCTCACAGTGCTGGGTATCAAACCCAGGGCCTTTGGATCCTAGACAAGGGTTCTACAATTGAGCAAACATCAACAGTCAAACATTTTGCAAGGGTTGGAGAGATGGACCAGTGGTTAACAATACTTGCAGGGGATCCAGGCTCAGTTCCCAGCTCACAGCCATCTGTAACTCCAGTTCCAGGGGGTCTGACATCCTCTTTCTGGCCTCCATGGGCACTGCACAAACTTGCTGTACATACATGCAGGCAAAATACTCAAATGCATACAATAAGATAAATCTAAAAAAAGATGATTTTGAGTTTAACCGATATTATTGTGCTTAAAGGTAGTTTATTTATATATTTTAAAAAATCTGTGGTAGACAGTATAGATGTCCATTTTTTTTATTATGGTCATTTGAAAGGTTTCCATTGGGTGCTATTAAGAATGAAGTTGAGCCGGGCAATGGTGGTGCACACCTTTAATCCCAGCACTTGGGAGGCAGAGGCAGGCGGATCTCTGTGAGTTCGAGGCCAGCCTGGGCTACAGAGTGAGTTCCAGGACAGCCAGGACTGTTACACAGAGAAACCTTGTCTCAAAAAACAAAAACAAACAAACAAAAAGTTGTTATGAACATTCATACATAAGCTTTTTGTAGACAAATATTTTCGTTTCTAGTAGGTAAATACCCAGGAGTAGAATTTCTGGGTCAGAGGGCAGAAATGGATTTAACTTAGAAAAAGCCCTGGATATATATATTTTTTTAAATATAGATTTGTTGTCTTCAGCCCCAAGAATTCTGAGTTAGCCTGACATTCCTAAGCACGTACAGTACATAGTTTTAAAAGCGCCCTAGAACCACTGGTCTAAATTATAGTCATGGTGGTAGAGAGGAAGTTATTTCAGTTTGGTTTTCTTTTCTACCACAAAAACATATAAATGCAAATAATTTCTCCTTTTTCTTCCTGGTTAGCTGCAAACAGCTTTCTCTGAATATTTCCCCTGCACCATACCTCAGCCAGATGCTGGGTCTCCTTTAAGGAGCTCTGGTGAAGTACAAGGTAAAGCACAGGGAGCTTCTAGAAGATTAGAATCACTAAGACGAGGAAACCAAACAGAAACAGTCGTTAGGGTGGAAAAGAACGCTGAACTGAGTAGCAGAGGAGGGCGTGGCCTTGTGGACACTGGTGGGGTTTTCCATCCTTTCCTTACTATTCTACCTAGGAGAAAAAAAAAAAAAAAGACTCAGCTGTCCTCAGGCTGCTGTGACTGTTCACTATCAGATGGCGGCGGCTTCTGAGCATCGGACACAGTGACAGCCAGAATGGCCGCACCCCACCCCACAGAGCAGAGGCTCCTAGCTTATGGGCAAAGAAGCTGACAGCCTGGGAACGGACAGGGAGTCACTTAATGGATCAGGGGCTGGCTGAGCTGGGACCAGAACCCAGGTGGCCTGGCTTCCAGCCCAGCTGACCACACTGCTACCCACACAGACAGAGCTGGCCAGAGACAAGTCGCCCATTGAGCAATTGCACAAACAACAATGGCTGATGGATGGTCAGAGTAAGAAACAGGCACGAAGCAACTGCGACCCCATCACTTCCCGATCCCTAAATTTTCAGGCAGGCCTACGATGTGCGGTCACTTACATGGCGTTGACCAGCCACTTGGCACAGCTTTTGAATCTGGACCCCTTTTTGTGGTCACTGCCAAAAGAAAAAAGTCTGCCTTGAACTCAAGGTGGAGAGAGCCTCTGAGCTCCATACCTGGTCCCGAAGAGTCGGTGGGCGTGTGAAGCAGAACAGACCTAGTTAAGAGATGAGGGCCAGTTGGTCCTGGAGGCCTTGGTGAAAACAGCTTTCAGCTTTGCATAGATCCGCCTTCCCACTGCAGACCTAGCTATCAAGGTCTAGAATGACCTATGGAATTCAATTAGAATCAACAGAAGTGACCAAATCTCATCCTATTCTTCTCTTCAAATTTGTCACTGAACAGTGCCCACAATCTGCAGTCCCTGAATCTTTTAAGCTCTGGCCAAAGGTCTCTGCTTGTTAAGTTGCCTTGTAAATTCTGGTATGTTCCATACAAGGCACCTTGCTCTGCTTGGCTGAGGTACGTACACATGGCCCCAGGTCCTGCCCTAAACCTTCACCTCTAAACTACTGAACTTAAGGGTATCCTTCAAGAGATACAGCTGTCCAGCAGGCCTCCTGTTTCAGGTGTCAGTTTCTTAGTCTGGATGATTCTATGCTCCATCCCTCCCCTCAGAAACCAAAAGCCCCCAGAGAGTGGTGAGGAAAATGAAAAGCTGACTGTATTGTTTGTTTTTACGTAAGAACATAATTTTGACAACAAACGCTGCTTTGAAGATGGGTACCACAACGTCAGGTGTATGAACTAAAATTTAGGATTCTTTTGGTTCGAGTAGAGCAGAGGCTGGCTCCATTTCGTGTTTGCACTGAAGTGGTTCTGGAAGCAGTCCATATTCTTTTACAGATATGGAAGGTTGAGGTGGCTTGTTTATGCTCTCCTAGGCACAGCTCATTGTAACCTACATGGCACATACGTTTGTTTTGCCTTACATAAAGTATTTTAATGCATTTTACTAACACTAAGTTGTAAGATCGTTGATGCTTGGGATTTATGTCTTTCGACTTTTCTATTTCCAGTATTAAGGAAGCGCTGTGCCATTACATAGTAGGGCTTCAATAAATTCTGGCGTGGAATTATGCTGTAACGTTGTAAAGAACACATTAACAATCAAAAGTACTATATAACTTCTACTGACTGTGCTAAGTCTGTGGCTAGGGAGTCATTAGGGAGTCATTGTTATGCAAGTAAAGACTGTACAGAAAAGGGTATGTTCACGTCAAGAGTGAAGGAACAAGGGGAATGCATAACTGGGCGGGGCTGGTTTGTAAGAAGCGATGTTCATTTTCCCCTGGTCGGTCCAGAAGGACTGAGTGGAGTAACTAGAATTTCAGCCCTCTTCTCAAATATTTTCATCCTTCTCACCTTTCGAGAACTACTCCGCCCGCTTCTGTTTCTTCCCCAAGGGCTGGTGCCAACTGATGCGACCCCAGAGCCTTAAGAGTCCACGCCGAGCTCCCAGCTCCGGCTCAACACGGCTCCAGCCCGGGGGCGCGGGGACGCGAGCCAAGAACGCGCGGGGTCACGCGCCGGGCAAGCGCCAAACTGGCCGCAGCCCCAGAGCGGCCCTGAGGGCGGGGCTGCTGCGGGGCGGGGCGGGGCGGGGCGGGACGGGGCGGGGCCGGCCGCGCGGGGCGGGAGGAGGCCCGGGGGCGGCTAGGGTGTCACCGCCAACCCGCTCCGGCCGGAAACGGGCGCTTGTTTCCGGCCGGACGGCCGAAAGCCACCGATCCTGAACCAGCCGCTGGAGTCTGAGTGGCGACCCGGTGTGGAGCCGGCGGAAAGCCACTGGGGAGAGGCCAGCTTCGGTCAGTCCCGGCTTGGCTCCGGCTCCAGTTCCTGTGGGGAGCAACAGTCGCGGTCGCCGTGTCCGCCTCCGCCTCCATCGTCGTCGGGGGAGGGGCCGCTCGGACCCCGGGGTCACTGCCGAGGAATGAGGAGAGGCGGCCGGGCCCCGCGCTCCGCCCCGGCCTAGAGCCTTGCCCTGAGAGTCGCGAGGGTAACGGAGCCCCCAGCCCTGACACCCTCCCCGTCTTCCCCGGCCCCTCCCGCCTCTCCAGCGCCCCAGACTCGGCGCCTCCGCGCTCCACCGCTCCCTCTTTCTGACCAGACTTCACCTGAAGCCATCTCCCTTGAGCGCCCGCTCCTCGCCTCGCCGTTCCCTGCTTTGGTCCCCACCTTCCCCTTCACGCCAGCCTTTCACCTGCGTCCTGCGCTCCCAGCCCTGCCCGGCCGTCCTCTCCTGTCCTCTCCCGGGCTGTGCTGGGCAGTTGGGATGGTCCCCTCATGTCAGCCAGACTTCGGGGGAGGGATGGCGGAGCTTTAGGGTGGTCAGGATGCAGCCGCCCGCCCCCTCACCCCAGGAGGATAAAGTTCTTTTAAAGTTACTATAAAAGTAAAATGGAAAGACAAGTTTGTTCTCCTTATCGATAGCCAAACCGAGGTGCGTCCAGTAATGGAGGAGGGGGGGGAGAGAGAGAGAGAGAGAGAGAGAGAGAGAGAGAGAGAGAGAGAGAGAGAGAGAGAGAGAGAGAGAGAGAGAGGCAGAGGCTGTGTGTGAGTGTAGGTGTAGAAATTCTAGGGCAGGCTTATGGACTTTAGAAAAAAAAGAAAAGTTGCTCTGAGCCGATGGAAACTTTAGAAGCTGATGATGAGTAAGCCGGGGGCTGCGTGATCTCACTCTTCTCATAATTACTAGGTTAACGGTGTGGCTCCTGTCGAGATGGAATGGGATTTGTTTACTGGGCCGTCGTATTTTTAGCCTGTCGGCTCACAAGGACCAGCCCTCAGAGTCTGTCTTTCCTCTCTGGTGATAGAGTGTCTGTCTAACTTAGGTGTCTTTTCTGGGCACAAGGCGCATGTAAAAATGGGGAAGTTGAAAGAATCGGACTGGTGAAATTTGAACGAAGAGATTACCTCCCCCCCGAAAAAAAAAATCAAAAACTTCTTAGAGAATTCTTAGGGAATTTTCATGACTGCAAAGCCAAGAGCTAACGACTTTGGCTTTTGCTTTCCTTATCTTTTTGCGAGTACTACAGACGATGTTTTATTTAGGAAACTAAAAGCTGGTAATTTGTCGGTCTTTGGCTTTTCCCACTATATATTTAGGAAGTCTTTCAGGAGGCTGGATCCCTTTGTCTCTCAAAACCTGTTTCAGAGGTGGAAAAGCTGAGTAAGAAGTAGTAGTAGTGCTAAAATGAATCTAAAAGAATAGCTGATTTCTATTTTATTTTTTTCTCTATTGTATAACTAAAAAGACACTTAGAAAATGTGTTTCTTAGTCAATGAGATTCTGTTCCTGAAGGGATGGAGAAGTCTGCCAGGGAGAATCAGACTTGTAGTTAAACGTTGGCCGTACATAACTTACAAATGAACACGTTCTAGGTAAACAATGAGGAATTAATTATGGTCTTTGCCCTCATTGTTTTCAAGCAGGTCTTTTAAGTTTACTAACCTGCTGTGCTAGTCTATTGATATTTTGAAGGCTGAACAGAACTGTACGATAAAAGAATTTGGCTGTTCTCATGTACAGAGCTGAATAGCAGTCTGTTCTACCCTCACTAGTGAACTGGCATCTTCAGAGCGCCTTCCTAACACAGGCCAGTTGCTGTGTACTTAGAGATTGAACATGGACACAAATATTAGCTCATGGTACGAATAATTGAGAAGGTAAATATGCTGAAAACATATGTTCCAAAACCAAAATAGATTTTTTCGATTTTCCCTCTCATTTAGGATTATCAGCACCTTTCTGCCAATCATTATCCATTAACGTGAATAATTTAGGATTGAATAGATGTCTGCTTTGGACATTACACATTCAAGCAGGAAGTAAAGATAGAAAGTTGTTTCCAAACTACTACTGTTTTATTTATTTATTTTTGGTGGTCTGATTTGTCTTATTCCTTTCATTTAGTACCAGGGACAACTTCTGTGGGGGAAAAACAGTAAAACTGTTTTTATACAACTGGTGTGTTGTATAAGGCAGGATGACCAGCTGGATGCTCATGTTAGATGCACTGTGGTGGAGTTATGTCACTGTCTTGGAAATGTTCTTGAAGTAATAATTGCTCTATCTCTCTTTTCCTCTCCCCTCTCCTACCCATTAGTGGAAAAATATTTCAGTTGGAGTCTAAAATTGGATTTAAAAAAATCACATATCTCCTCTTGGAGTCTTGACTGTTAATAGTTGTTTTAATCCGTGTGGGTTGGCTGGTGCCAATAGTAGCTATGACATATGGCTGATTTCTATTTCTATCTAACTTCCTTTTGTTGAACTTTATATGTTACTCTACAGGGCAGGGATGGAAGAGTTTGTATAAACCTCGAAATGAGTGTAGAGCAAGCAGCCCAAGAGCCCCACCACCATTCTCAGTTCTTAGAAAGCTGTTGTTTTTTTTTTAAAATAGAAATTTGAGGTACATTGTAAGCAGCCAAGTGAACTATGATGGAACAATTTAGTATCACAAATAAATGTTCACATTGTTATGAGAGCATTGTGTTGCTTGTTAAAGTTTCTGAGCTCCCAAATGCCTCAAGTATTCTGATAGTTCTGGCTGAGACTATGGGGCTCGGGGAGAGGGAGAGAGAGTTTGTTTGTGTGTTTGTGTATGTGTCTAGGGAAGTATCACTCTTACCACAAACACTTATCTCACTAAAAGGGAAAAATCAGTCCTTGGAAATGTGGTCTCAATGATATGTTTCCTATGTGGAATGGCGACTGGAATCTTAGTAGCGCCTGATTCAGACAATTAAAATTCTGTGCAGGGCAGTTTCATCATGAACTCCTGAATTCAATTGGCTTTTTAAGATAATAGAAGAGAGGACTTATAAATTCCTTGCTGAATAATGATTGAACCGTCCTATGGCTGAAGCAGCCTCCAAGCTCCAGTGGCAGCCTTTGGGGAGCTAGAAAGATGTAAAACAGGTGTCTCCCCTTTGAGTGGGGGGTGAGGGGTAGGGAGGTAGCACATGGGACAGGGAGGAGGATGACATAAATGGGAACAGGCTTTAGTGTTTAAACACTTTAAAATGTAGGAAACTGTCTAAACAACCAAGTTTCATGTACTGTACTGGCATGTGTATGGGCTGGAGAAAACTTGAATAAGGAATTAATGAGATTAAACAAAGGGAGCTTTCTGAATCAGTATGTTTTGAAACGGACTTGGGAGGTTATGGATTAGTCATATAAAACTATGGACTGTGAAATTAGATGGACTTTGGTTCTTTTCTTTATGACGTGACCTTGCCCATGTCATTACATTGAAGTCAATGAAAAATGTTTTCTGTGTTAGGAATAAAAGAAAAAGATTTATTGAGGGGCTGGAGATGCTTGCTTAGCATGCAGAGATCCCTAGATTCTGTTCCCAGCACTGCACAGATTGGGTGTGCTGATGCATATAGGTAATCCTTGTACCTGGGGGGCAGAGGCAAGAGGATCACAGGTTTATGGGCACCCTTCCTTGGCCATGTAGTGAATTCATACCCAGCCTGGGGTACATGAAACCTAGTCTCAAACACCCAACGAAAGCATTTTCCGAATAAAGTATAGAATGTGCAGTGTGCAATGATGGTGTGTATGAATGACTAAATTATGTGTGAGAGTGACTGGGGAGAATGTGGGTTGGTCAAGTCATGGGGAGGAAGAGGGTGGAAGGGACTCAGAGGCCAGACTGTTGGATGTGGATAGAAGGGTCAATAGAGTCATTGTAGGTCCATGAACAAAGGATGGATTTAATGTGAAATATTGAGCCCTTTGGTCCAGGAACTCAGGGACAGGGAGTCAGGCAGGAGCCGGTACATTGTGACTCTTCTGCTTCTTTTCTGTACCATCCTGGCCCAAAGAGACTTAGCCAGTAGATGAAAGATTCGGTATAGAAGTTTTTGTGTTTGCATACCTTGCTGTCTGAGCTCTGCTTGTCCCTGTCTCATAGTGCACCAGCCTGTGGAGAAATCGCAAGACTATGGCGGGGTTCTGCTCAAAAGCTTGTGGTAAGGATGACATTATGTTTCAAGGGCATTTAGTTCTGCTAATGTAGAGAGTACTGGCATAAGAATTCAACACTTTATGAACAAATTTATTATTTTAAAAATGCATTATTTTGCTTGGTGGTGGTGGCACATGCCTTTAATCCCAGCACTTGGGAGGCAGAGGCAGGTGGATCTCTGTGAGTTTGAGGCCAGCATGATCTACAGAGCGAGTTCTGGGACAGCCAGGGCTACACAGTGAAACCCTGTCTCAACGCTCCCCCCCAAAAAAACCCAAAAAACAAAAAGCATTATTTTTAAAGCCAAACTTCCTATTTTGGGGGTTATACTGATGTTGAATTTATATCTCTAAGCCTATATTACCTGGTAGCGAGGAAAAGACTGTAGGAATGATGAAGTACAATTAATTTTGGCTTAAATATTTGGCTTTAGAAATCCATAAAATTAATAGTCCATTTATGGGTAATTAAAACCAGACTATACTAAGTATCTTAATGTAGGCTAATTTCAAAATCTGTGAAGGTTGAATGTGGCCTCGCAGGCTATCTCCTTCCTGCATAAGAACATTGGTAGATGATGTCTATATCCCAGCTAGAATGAATCTTCATTTACAGTATCTGGGGTCTCACCGCATTGTTAAAGGGCACTGAAAAATCTTCTCCAGATATCTTGAAGGAAAATTCTTTGATAATATGAGTAATTGGAAAAAGGGATGTGTGTGTGAAAGGTCTCCTCGTACACAAAAGCACACAGCTGTTCTTTAGTGGACTTACCGCCCTGCTTCCTGCCAGCTGCCACCTTCTTGTATCATTACAAAACTATGTGTTTGTGATATCAGGAGCACAGGTTATTCCTTACCTTGAGTCAGGTGATTCTATTTCTGAGCTGGAAACCCGAGGCAGCAAAGACAGGGATTTTATCATATACAGCTAGATTGGGATTAATTTCAGCTGTATTGTTTAGTTATGTCTTATACCTTTATTTCTTCTAAGAATTAGTTTGGGGTAAGAG